AGCACATTATTATTACAGCTATTATAGTCATTGACTTTATTACTAAACTAGGTGCCAGTCTTTAGGAAATAATATTGATCTGTTTTAATCCTTTTTAAAAATCATGTAAAAATGCTCAGCCGTAACTTTTCTTATACAGCTTCAGCTTAACAGTTCCAGATATTCTCAATAAGGACAAAGTTGTTCCTGTTAATCATCTGTTTTAAATATATTTTAAAGTATTTCAATCAGTGACAGTACCCTAGATAAGAAGTTTCATTTTAGTCCAAAGTATATTTTTCACTTTGGTAAGTAAGAACGCTACTTAAGGTGTAGTTTCAGAAGCTTAGCTGCCATGAAAAAAACATACATAGTTTTTTAATTTGTGGTGACATCTCTAAAGGCCTTTTCCCTTTTTTTTCTTGAGAATGCTGTATATCTGATTTCTGGATGTGGGATAGTGTTATCACACCATTTTCAATTTTCCTGCAGAGCTGCTCACTTCCCTACCAAATTCTAACCTCCCCCCCTTTATATATTATTTGCTTATTCCAGCCCTACCTTATTCTTCACTCTGAAATATATTCTTCCAAATTAAAAACCCCATGCATTACATTTTTATAAACGAGGAAGGCTTGCTTTAAATATTCTTAACTGATCAAAAAGTAGAGTGTAACATCCCATTTCTATTCCCATGTACCTCTCTCTAGTCCTCTTGTAAGAGCATCTCTCAGTTTACACATAAAAAATGGTACTGTGTGAGGGGGAAAATAATGAACTTTATTTTGTGAGACTAAATGCATGCTTCAGCTCCAGTTCTGCGATTCTTCCTTATTTTAATAACAAGCCATAGTTTCAGACTTTGATTCTATACTTCAGCCATGGCTCAATTTGAAAGTTAAGTAAACTATATGAGAATTAACTAGATGATTGGATTGCATGCAAATCAAAAACATACCTTCATGGGCATATGGTTGATGTTATAAAATAAAAAGGGCTGTGGCAAGAATTTGACTGCTTAGTGCCTATGTAGAACAATAATAGTTTTTCAATTGTTGTTTTTCTTTGTATAGGGAAATCCTAAAATTAATGCAGTATTCTGGACATTTTTATTTTTGACCATGCTACATCATTGTCTTGAAAATCAGGAAAGTCAATCAAATGCCATATTTAGATTTTTATAAATTTTATACATTTTGTTCATATGCAAGAACTGCTTTTCACACTGTATGGTGTAAAATGAAGTCACATGTTTTCACAAACTATATATGAAATTCTAAGAAACATTTCTTTTAAAAAAAATAGCATAAGAAAATGTGAAGGCCCAGCACATTTGGTGAGAAAGATTCAGAAGGCTTTCTGTTGAGCATAATATAGCCTTATTTTTTCTTATTTCCAGTTGAAATTCACATTCCTTCATCAAATAGAAAGAAGGGAATAAAAATATTCTGATTTCTGGTGTCAGCCTACCTTAGCATATGCAAGTACTTTATCCGAGTTAGGAATGATTAACCCTGACGTTTGTATCCCCAAAATATAAAATTTCATATGAAACCTTGGCTTAGATCTTAAAACTTGTAACAACGTGAATTTTCCTCTCCCCTTTCACCTTGCAATTCCATGTAGCTTTCACATTTGGAAGGTTAATACAGAATCTGCTTGAATTGTTTATGACAATCCTGTGCTTTATACTACATACTTCTCATACTAAGCATTTGTGTATGCATAAGTCTGCAGGGGAAAGGGGACAATATACAGCAGGGGTGTCAAACTGCCGGCCCGCACGCCGAATGCGTCATGCCAAAACCGCGCCCACCCCATTGCCAGCAATGGAAAAAAAGTTGCAATACGCCGCAACACGACACGTGACGTTGCGAGTTTGACACCCCTGGTATACAGTCTTTTTTAATTACAGTTATCAGGATCCCCAGCATGCTTACTAAATAATTATGAAATGCTATGTGTAAAAGAAGCATAATTGCCAAGCTAATTCTTAGCATTCTGCTGTATTACAAAATATTTCACATCTCTCAAGGATAGCAACATGTAATGCAAAATTTTGTGAGTTCTTGAGCTTAATTTCTTTATGCAAAATTGTCATGTTTTATGTATTTTAATATCTAATATATTTCAGCCTCAGGCTGAAACTGCATTATTACAGTATTTATTGTATTTATAAGTATAAGATATTTGTTTAGCATTACTGCATTTTTCTAAATAAGGCTCAAAATGCAAATTTGCTTTTATCTAGGTAACCTATGTAAAAATATAGTATGTCTTTGTTTTTTTTAAAAAAAAGGTTAATTGAAAAACTCTAAGGCTAACATATTATGGTTACTCAGCATGGAATGCAACTCATGTGAATTTGAACTTTATAGTAACATGCATTTCAATAATACATATTTGTTTTTAGGGGAAAAACACAATTTTAGTATACTTCTGCAAATCTTGCATTTTTCTACAATTATGCTAATATTTCCTCCCCCCCCATGACCCTATTTCAAAGATGTTAGCGTTTTGTTTTATACTGATGTTGCAGGGAGAGCTAGGTAGAGGTTTTTTTCCCTATAATGAATCAAATTTTTATCAGTGTTGATTGGCACATATTGTTGTCCATTTTTATTCAGACTTGCCAATTGCCAGTTCATAGTTAATTCAGTCTTGTGTTGAGGAAACTGGCAATCTTCTATTTGGGAACCAAAATGATACAAAGCTGAATATTTCAGATGACCTAGAGATAAAAAATTAATATTGCAAGCTATATTGAATACCAGATCTAGTGAATCAGAATTAATGTTCAGAACTCTTGCTTTTGATATTTAACTCTTGGTTAAGCAGCAGGTCCAGAAGTGACACCAGTTACAAATCTCAAAATAGGAAAAGAAATTGCAAAATGAAGAGGGAAAAAAATTGTATTTTTATCATATGATTTATTAGAGTACAATTATGATATAACCCACCCTAGGAGGTGGACAAGAAACATTTACAGGATAGAAAATCTATTTTGAAAAAACACACATGGCTGAACCTGTTGTAACAAGTGTGAAGAGTGAAAATTGGCTTTATTGTTTTTTTCCCTCCTAGTTGGCTTGGATGCAGCTGGAAAAACCACAATTCTCTATAAACTCAAGTTAGGAGAGATTGTCACTACAATTCCAACAATTGGTAAGAACTTAGGAATATATTAATTTATTAATATTATTGATAATAATGTTAATTAAGTTTAGGTTTTTAGGGAAGTTTCAGTTTGTCACAGTATATGCTTGAATGAAATTTCTAGAATATTACACTATTTATGGTACATTATTACTGAGCTCATAAATTTTATGACTAAAGATAATCCCAACAAAGAGAAATTCTAGAGCCAGAGATGAAAGTGTCAATGGCCAGTATACCATTTTTCCTGCTACTCGTTTGCTTCCAAGATCAACTTTATTCATAATAATCCGATAAAAGAAGCCCAAAGAAACCAACATTGAAAAATGTTCTACAAGCCAAGATAAAAACTCAAGAAGAAGAAATCTTTGTTGTATTTCTTTTGTGTTCTAGCACTATAATTTTTAAAAAGTGATTAAACAAATTATGTTTTTTTTAGCTCTTTGTGAATATATTTTGTTTTTGTCAGGTTTATATAATACCATCCCCACCCCTACATCAATCAGCTCTTTAAGCATTGAAATGTCCTTAAAATTAGCTAGTTTGTATAATACTGCAGTTTGATGTAATACTATAAAGACTATTAATATTGAAAGAATAAAAACAAATCCGAAATTACACCTTTGTCATCTTATATTTTTATAAACAAAATGACAAACCCTACAACCACCAGTTCTATTTTAATCTGGTGAGACCTCCGTAATAAAAGTCTTATGTGTCCATTCAGGATCGTTCAATAAATAAAAATTTGTGAGTAACTTAATTGAGTATGACACTCAGTTATTTAGGATTTAAATAATATCCTTAATTTTGCTTTATTTCATGGTGCTATGTAAGTTAACGCATTTAATTAACTGAATTATTTTATGTTTGTTTTTATTATTTCATTTACCTGTACTTGTTTATTGTTGGGGACGGGATCCTATAGCTAAAACCAGTACAAAAAGTGTCTTGAAGATTATGTTTCTCCAGATGCCAGCAAGATAGGTCAAGGTTTAAGGATTTTATCTGTGATGTCCTCATCGCAAACATAGGTCCCTTGGGCTTATGATTCTGCAAGGCTGAAGAATTAACTACAACAGTGTGGCCGTATAGATATTTGGTTCCCAGCATTTCTCAAATGATTGGGAAGGGAAACTGCAGGATATAGTAGCTGTCTCATGTCACTTACATAGTTGTTCTCATGAGCTGTGCTCCTCTTCCAGTCTTGTGAAACACACAAGGTGAGCTGAGGCATTGGACATTGTTTCCATTCTTTTCCATCAGAGGGCAGTCTATTAGATATAGTCCTCTATGCTACTATCCCCTCAGAATAGAATTGTTTTGCTATGTAGCTTAATGAAGAACTTCAGTCATGATGGGCAAAACTATATTTGGAGCAAAAATGGCTGAAAGCATAAGTGAAACTTCACAAAAGACAGCAAGGGCCATTTGGTCCAGCGTTCAGTGCAGGAATGGAAACTAATTAGTCCAAAAATGTAACCGTTTGAAAGCTTAAACTAAAAAAGAAACCTTATGGTATCATTTAGTCGGATTGTTTGATAGAAATAGTATTCTGGAGATGCATTCTTTATAGTTGGCTAGAGCAAGTTGCATCATTTTGCAAATACTGTTAATTCATTTGTAGCTGAAGATATGGTTTTTCATTGAAAGCTATAATAAATTGCTAAAGTTTGGATATACTTTATTTCCTTTCCTGGCTCTTTTGAGGTATTGGCACCTAGGAACAGATGGCATGTTAGGAGAAAAGCTTGATACTTTGCATGATTTCATATTTGAAACTGTTTTGGTGGTAAAGATATATGAAATCAAGACAGAATTGACTTGAGTCTTTTTATTTATTATTGTCTCACTATGTTAATACTTCCCCCCCCAGGGTCTCATTTTTGTGGTAGATAGCAATGACAGAGAGAGAATTCAAGAAGCAGCAGAAGAACTGCAGAAAATGGTAACTTTTAATCAGAATGTAAACATCTTGCATTCCTCTTGTCAATTGCATCCAGCCAGGTTGGATGGCCATGTTCTTGCTCCTCATATTCAGTTCATTCCTCCATCCATAGTTCATTTATTTTGTCATTTAGTTGTAATCATTCACAATAAGGACCAAACTACTATTTTTTTCCTATTGGCTATATGTTATTATATTCAGTCACAATAATTCAGCAGTGATTCATTCTTGACTCTTTTTCTCTTGTATTATTGCACACATTTCTTAAGTGATCCAGTCCCACAGCATTCGGTCTACTTTTATGCTTCTCCTGGTGTAAAAAGTAGATGCAAACATGCATTTATATAAAGCAGTTTTCACTTTTAGAGAAACATTTTGTGCAGTAGTGCACATATAGCCCCATTACAGTTCTACCAGCATTTGTAAATCGTGAGATTTCTTCATCCATTTTTCCATTTTTAGTAGACATTCTACCAAGGTACCCAAACTCATTTAGTTGCTCCTGCTTGTCACCATTTATGTATAACTTGGATTTATTCATACCGCTTTCTGTTATTTTTTGATATTGCATTTATTCATCAAATGTAAAGCTGCTTGACTTCCTAAAACTTCTAGGAGGCATACGACATTAAAAATAGGAATATTAATTTTCAGATTCATTCTCTTTGTTATATATTACTTATCTAATACTTTCTGCAAATCATTTAGATTTCTCAGCCAGCAACATGGCATCTGAATACAAAAGTACATGCTCATTCATATTCCTACATGTCATGCATCTAACAGCTCTATCATTACTCTTTAGAAATTTACCCATAAATACCTAAAACAGTCAAGAGAACTTCAGGGTTGAGCCATTTGAAATGTGGTCCATTTAATGCTCATACTTTATTTCTATGATATATAGGTCTTACAACATTCAATAACTTAACCTCCCAATCTCACACATTCACATAACATGCTCTTTCTATGAATGTCCAATAAACTTTCATTCTCACCTGAGTACCTTTTTCAGTGAATGCATTTCCTAATGTAGAAAACTAGTCTGCATGCCTCCAGCATAAAGCCAGACTGCATTTGGCTCACTGTCACCTTTGGCACCATTTCAGTCAGAATTCTGCCAAGCATCTTCCCAGGGACACTTAACCAACTAATTCTCCCTGTAGTTGTTGCATTCATGCTTGCTCCCTTTTCCTTTTGGTTTCTCTTTGTTATTATCTAAGAGGGTTTAAACTCTATCTCTACTTCGGAAATATGTATACCTTTTAATCAACGCGTCAGTAAGATGTAGTTGGAAAGTTGTAAATAGATCAATATGATGAATATGGACGTTGACGATAAAAAAGTTCGACCAACAACATAAAACAATGAAAAGAAAAGTAGTAAAAAAAAGAACCTGTATACGGTAATTTGGTGATATTAGTGACTGAACACCATTTGGCGAAATAAAGGAAAAATACAGCCTCTGCTGTTGTCTTCTTCCTTTGCAGGTTTGTTTGTAAGAAACTTAAAAGAGGGAAGTTCTAATGTTTTTTTTCCCCTTCCAGCTTCAAGAAGACGAGTTGAGAGATGCGGTGCTCCTTATCTTTGCAAACAAACAAGACTTGCCAAATGCCATGGCAATCAGTGAAATGACAGATAAACTAGGCCTTCAGTCCCTGCGTAATAGAACTGTAAGTACTGAAATTTTGTACATTCAGTGAAACTTCTGAATAAAAACCTGGCATTTGGTATAAGTATTTGGGTTATTGAGTAGGGCAGTGTTTTCCTATTTTCTTCAGAAAACAATACCCAAATGTCTGTAAGTGGCACTTAATACTGCAAAGGGAGATTGGCATAGTGTTTTAGTGAACCCATTTTCCTGCCAATGTGTATGTGTCTATCCACTCATAGATTCAGACCTTTGGTTGCAGCCCATCAGAGGTTTCTGAATTTCAGTTTCAGCTGTCAGCACTAGCTGTTCTAAGAGGAGTTGATACTTTAACGAGTAAAATATAACAATAAACTGCTGAGCTGAATTATAGTTCTGTTTTTAGAGAAAGATTGTAATTTTTTGTGTTAAGAAATAAACCATTGATAAGATCATAATTAAGAGCATTCTGATAGCATAATTGTAGTTATGTTTAGCAATATTTGAATTGGTGTTTCTTTTAGGACTGCTTTTGTTGATATATCCATGTTTCCCTGAAAATAAGACTTGGTCTTGTTTTTTTTCCCTCCAAAAGAGGCACCAGGTCTTATTTTGGAAGGGGGGGATCTTTTCCACTCACCTTGCGGCAATGCCACCGACAGCCCCGCCCAGCCGGCCCACTTCTGCGGCCAAAGGAGCAGCTTTATTCTGCAGCTGAGAATGGAGCTCAGGCCTGCATTTCACTGTCAGAAGCCTTTCCGGAAAGCCTGTGCAGCCGAGATCCGAGCTATGGATTGAATCCGTAGCTCGGTTATCGGCTGCCCAGGCCTTCCAGAAAGGCTTCTGACAGAGAAATGCAGGCCTGAGCTCCATTCTCAGCTGCAGAATGAAGCTGCTCCTTCGGCCGCAGAAGAAGTGGGCCGGCAAGGCAAGTGTCGATCCATGGGAGGCCTGGCTGCAATGGTATGCTCCACCCCCTCCCCCTCCCCCCAGCTTGATTTTTAAGCGTGCGCCTCACCTCAAAACTAGGGCTTATTTTCGGGGTAAGTTTTGGGGAAGCACGGTATAATCATTTTAACAAGGGCTATGTTTATATTCATCTATAATCATTCTGGCCTACTGTGGAAAGAAGAGAACTATGAAAATGAAATAAGTCATTTGATTCATTCAAGTTAACACTCATGCTATCTTTGACTATAATTCTACATAAAATATTTCTTTAGAAATTAGTAATTGCTGGAGATGATAGCAGTACAGAGGCTGATTGCATTTGCCTTCTTCCAGGACGTTTTTTGACATTCCTACCTGTCTTCTGGTTTATTATTGCTTAATATAGTGAGAGACATGGGAATTTGTCCTGGATTTTAGAACTGAAATGTATTCTCAAGAACAGTACCAAATATTAAAATATCACTTCTTTCTGTTCTACAGTGGTATGTTCAGGCTACCTGTGCTACACAAGGTACTGGTCTATACGAGGGACTTGATTGGCTGTCAAACGAGCTATCAAAGCGTTAACTGCAACTGGATGACTTTCGCACCAAGGACACGTTTGATATAAGTGGTCTAGGCTTGTTACATCAAAATTAGCTGCATCTTGGTTAATATACAGTATCTGGAACTGATTTGGGCAGGATATTACAGCATTTTTACTTATTTTGTTGCCAATTATTGTTCTCCAAGCTATATGTTGCCAAGGTGACAATAGGCTTGGATTAAAAAGAGAAACTCCTTAATTTGGAAAAAGTGTATCTTCTGATTTTTCCTTTTGTTGTTAGCCTAAATGCCTGAATATAGTTGTGACTTTGAAATCTATTGAATGCTTATTGAGCCCCAATTCAATTTAAGTATATTTAAGACCCCTCTTATCTCTTAAGTTACCAATACCTTGTTTCATTCCATAAGACAGTCTGCTGATTTAATCTACCATTCCATTTATATTTATTTCTCTCCCTTATAAAAACACTTCCTGATGTTGCCAAGAATTCTCTAAAACACTATTCAAATCTTCTGCACTGAGGAACATTTTATTAACTTCCCCTCCCAATTGACCCACTTTTGCCTTTGTGTGAACTCAGCCTAATACTTACTGTGCTGGTTGCAACAAGCTCATTGGAGTTTTTAAATATTCAGCAGATTGTCTCTTTTTCTTTTTGCATGTTGCTTTCAGTATCAGCCTGTTTTGCCCAGTGTATAATAGTTCTGCTAAAGTTTTACTGTTTATTGGTGAACATATCTTCATGAAGAGATTTTGAAAATTCTTCAGACTTGATGGATTAATTTCTTTATAACCTATTCAGAATTATTCCTAATTAAAATGATACAAATGTATAGCTTTGTGTATGCTCCTTGAATTTTACGTTTGTGGAACTGATAATATGAATGTGTGACAGATTCTTTTTCAATAAACGGAGTTTTTTCTGTACCTTGAACACAAACAGATCTGAATAGATTTTGAATTGTTTTCAATTTGGCAAAAAAATTAAGATGGGCAGTTAAAGTTGTGTACAACATAACTGATTAATTATCAAAGGTAAATCCTGTAAAAGTGTTTTGAAGCTGTAAATCTAAATCCTTTTAAGATGTCCAGATATGAGAGTACTTAGAGTTCAGAATGGTAATAAAGTTCAAACTGCCCAAAGAGTCTGTTTCATTAATGATTGACAGAACACTCTGGTTTGCTAGCAATTGTCCTGCGAGTTCCTTCCACGTGGTCAATTATCTGATGCTTAGATAGCGCTTAATTCGGAAACCTTTGTATATCTCTGCTCAAAAATCTGAATTTTCTAATTTCTTTTAATCTCAGTTATAACTGGCACCACAAAAATGATGCATTTAAAACTGAATTTTTAATTTATTGAATTACTTTATATCATTCAAATAATTCTCCAAACTGCTAAATTGACATAATAATACATTAGCTGCATACTTCATATTAAGCTATATCTTCTCAGGCTTATTATACTTTTGACAAATTATGGTATTTAAGAAATTAGCACAATTGGAGAACTGCCATCAGTACTTTGCAAACATGTTGAGATGTAATAGCGGTATGTAGTGTCGACAGAATCCATATTTCCATCTACCTCTTCATCCTAGTCATTAATAAAAATGTTAAGGAACATTGGTCTCATGACTGCATGTTTGGCAATCCATTTGATGCCTTCTCCAGGTTTTTTGACTTTGATTATAAATGTCCAGACATGTATGTATACATTTAATAATCATTCTATCTACCCGAAGGTTATAAGATATTTTGGCAAATACTTTACTTTTACAACATTCCTATATCTACTCAGAAAATTATTGGTTCAAAAAAAAATAAGACCATGTGTTATTTAATAGGGCTTGCACAGATCAGCATTATTTCTTTGGCTCATGTTCTCATTCCAATCTTAATCAAGCAGGAGCACTGATTATTGCTACGCTATTCAAATGAGGAAAAACTAAATCTGGTGCTCAACCCCCAAAATATTTTTTTAAAAAACAAATAGCTCATGCTATTTCCAGTTTGTATATCTGAGGCAAGGCTGCTTGAATATCCTTACAGGAAACAAAAGAGATTTAGTTTTTTTTTAAAAGATGCTGTTCTTAAGGGATAAATTTGCATTTATATCATGGCTTATGGCTGAAATACTATTTCTTGCCACTCAAAATGATCAACGTTGGTTATTGCAGCTTATTAGATCATTATGTCAGTTAAATTGTTTTGTATTCTAAGCACAAAATGTAGGGTTCAGGATAGTGGTTTTTTAAAAATCGCTATATGTTTCCAAACTGCATCTCATGATTTTCCAAAGGATTCTTGGATTCAACCATTTTAAAGATGCAGTTGACAACGGCAGAGCTTTGGGTGTACTGCCTTAACTGGAAAAGTTGGGATACATTCAGAAATGTATCATCCTTGAAAATACTCCATGTTTAACTATATAGCAGAGCCAACATCAGAATAAGAAATAGGTTTTGACATTTGTATTATGTCATAAATTTGTTTTATGATGTTTATATCATAAAACATTTATAGAATTTGCCAAATTTCAATTCTGCAAGAGTCATGGGTGCCAGTTTTTGGACACAATCTGTAAATTAGCCCATTTGAGCTACCTTGATTCAAAATATTTAGCTCTTTGTTGTATTGTTTTGCCCAGTTAAAGGTTACAGAAATCAGAGCTTTAGTAGTATATAACACGACAAAATGAATATACTGTAGTAATCTGGTTAGGCAAATAAAGGATCTAGAAACTACATAAATTAACAGGTCTGACAAACAAAAATGAACTATACTGTATTCATATGGGATACTAAAACATGGTTAATCAGATATTCATTAAATTTATCTAGTTTAACGATCTATGCAAACTGACATCATAAAAGTAGCCGTAACTATGGTTGCATGACCTTTTGCCATAATGCAGCTAGCCATAACATAGTCTATCTTACACAAATTAGGGCAATGAAATGGGGTGCCAATATCCCCCATTATTAGTCACAGTTAACATAAGTTGCGAGAAGTAGACCTAGCACTCATGATCGGGGACACATATCAAACAGTTAACTAATCATTTTAGCTAGTTTATGTATTTATTTGTTTTATATTGCCACCTATCTCAAATTCGTAACTTTGGGCAGCTAACAAAGATTCAGGATTTAATGGTTCAGGATGCAAAACATGTTTAACCAGGTTACTGGCAATACCAGTATGTTGATCACATCTTTAGATAATAAAGGAGACAGTTTACCCTTGTACACAGGATTAACAGTTGAGTATCTTCTTAACTTGGTCTTGTGAACCGGTCTGGAAGAGGGTTAACTGGAGCTTAATTACCTTTTCTAGCCTCCATCAGACACAAGACACTAGAGAGGCTTCTCAAAGATGGAGCTGCTGCAACTACAACATCTCTTTTATTACTTAACTTTGCTTAAAATGAAATACAGAAGTGGGATAGGAGGCAGTTGTCTTCCACCCAGTCTTTGTTGCTTAGACCTTGCTCAAACCATGAAAATTCTTTTTTAAAAAGCTTTCCAACACAGAAGGAAGCAATAGTCCTTAAGGTCCCCTAAAGGTGGATTACAATTAACCAAAATCACCACTCCCTAGCAAAATCAGTCTCTGTAGTCAGAAAAAATATCACTGCTCAAGCATACCACAATATTATCACTATTATTTAAACCCAAATTATTTTGGTTTATATGAGTAAGATCTTTTCCCCCAATAGTGGGAACTGCCAGAATATTTTTTGAATCTTTAATACAGTCTTATAAAGACAAGAGTGGATATTCCCTCAACATGTCAGTAGTGACTGATTGATAAATATTAGTTTAAACAAACCAGTCTTACTCCTTATTTTAAAAGTCATCTAAAAATGAAGTAGGACAATGATAGTTTCAAAATGTATTGATTCTGTTCATTAATAGAAGAATAATACAGCACTGGTACATAAGAACGCTGTTATAAAAAGTATGACCACTTACAAAGAATTAAAAATGAGATATAATTGTGATCAAAGAAGCATTCCAACTGAACTTTTCACAAGTAGCAGACATTTCGGAAAATAATTGAATTATTTCCACTTTATATCACATATTAGTGCTATATGATCTGATGGGTGTGAAACACTTGGTAAGGCCTGGTGGGTAGTTACTTCTTCATGGCTTGGCAGTGGAATTACCTGTTCAACCTCCAAAACATTTGCATCAATGAAAACATAGTCCAAACATCCATGAAAGCCTCCAACGTAATTAGTGTAGGCTGGTTCTCCACAAGCACTTTTAAGACTGAACTG